TTTTTTACAAATCCTTTTCTAATTGTTAATCTAGTAATTTTAACAAATATTTTTAAGGGAGCCTTTGATTTCTGTCACTTCAGCCCAGGTTGAATGGACCAACCTCCTTTAATCAATCAATTCTGGTTACAAACCTAGTTAATAAACTTCTTTTAAATATTGCTTCTGTCAATTTAATATGTCCATTTTCCCCCCAAAGCCCTTCACATTTCTCTAACAAGAAAAATCTTCCTACATATTTGAACCATTCCAAGCAAGGCTATTAAGTTAGACCTCTAAAGATGATGAATCTTAAGTTCTATGAAGGATTTCAATGTTTTTTATTTGATTTAACACCAGGGAACTAAAGTTAATTACTCAGTTCCTCACTTACATTGATGTCAGAAGGCTACCCTGTTAAACACCTTAATAAATTACATTTTCTTAAAACTTGCAAATATTTAAAATACCAAATAGATACAGATGGTCTCAATGATTGACCAAATATTTTTGAACCTAATACAAAAGTGCTCATAATTTAGATTTGATTTACTTAATCTTTGCACTCTATTCCAAAATTTCTATGGGTTAAAAACACTAACCCACTACTGACAAAGAATAGTGTCACCAGCAAGGTGGGGAGACCATGTCAATAGACTGTGGCTAGCAATCTACTAGAGGCTTCGGTTGAGAAAGGAGATGGATTCTCCCCGGGACCCTGACCAACCTGCCAACCGCCTTTTAATAGTCACATGACAACAGGAACCCCAAACCCATATCTTTTATAAATTGATCTCTCTAGGGTTCAAGAGAGGCTGTTAACTCATCTTCCCTCCTGATTTGTGTAAATTGAATTCCATGCTCCCCATTTAGATTGTGATTAACTTTCTTCACTGATTAATTCGATTTCACATTTATTTAACGACCTTAGGACTTTCTTTGTTTTCAGTTTTGACTTAAAGTTACTTTACTGCCACTTTATTGAGTTAGTCTACCCTTACGTAAATATTCCACACCTTCTCTCAACTTTATCATCAAAATCTGATTATCAGAATTCTGATTTTTTTCCCCTATATTCTTCCTGTCTGGAAAATCTACAACTCCTATGGATATTAAAATGACATCTAATAGAAGCTTCACATCCTCGTTTCTTGTCTGGCTGTATGGTCACAATCCCAAGTTGCATCAAGGGAAACATAGTCGCTATGCGTGAGGAGTCTGTGGGAATATTAATATTGCTATTGTTAGTATTTTCTTATTAGGTAATCATTACAAAAACTCTAGTTAGGATCGCTCTGCTTTACAGATGAGCAAACAGGGGCTTGGAGAGTTCCATTAGCTGCTCAAGAGGGGCTGGGCTTGAATCTGGTA